TTCCGTCGCCCGTCGTGGCGTCGCGGGGGCCGCGCGTCCCCTCTATCCCGTCGCCCGTCGAGGCGTCTCGGGGGCCGCGCGTCCCCCCCCTTCCGTCGCCCGTCGTGGCGTCACGGGGGCCGCGCGTCCCCCCCCCCCCGTCGACCGTCGAGTCGCCCCTGGGGACCCGCGCGCGCCCCCTGCGATCCCGTCGCGTCGCCCTGCGGCCACCCCTCCCCGCACACCCGAGTTCGCTTACTGCACACCCGAGTTCGCTACCCGCACGCTTGTGCACGCTTCGAGCACACCTGAGCTCGCTTACCGCACACTCAGGGTATGGGGGTGACGGGTATGGTGGTAGCGGGTGTGTGAACCGTCCCCTGCTCCTCCTCCTCCTCCGTCTCCCACTGCTGCAGCTGCCGCTGAGGGGGGTGGGTGTGTGGGAGCCGAAGGAGTGGTGCTAGGGGGGTGACGTGGGAGTGGAGCTAGGGGTACAGCAAGGGGTGTGTGAAAGGGGGGTGGGAGAGTTGGGGGAGGTTGAGCGGAGGCTGCCGTCTTGTCGTCCGCAGCACCTGTAGTCCGGGGCTCTGTCCTGGTAGCCCAGAGAGCCTGCTGCGCCTGTCGCCCATGGGTCCGTTGCTCCTGTAGCTCCTCGTAGCCCGTGAGCCAGTTACTCCAGTAGTCCGGGGCGCTGTCCCGGTAGCCACTGTGCCAGCCGTTCCTGTTGCCCGTGTGTCTGCAGCTTCAGCAGCACCTCCAGCAGCTCCAGCAGCACCAGCACCAGCAGCACCTCCAGCAGCACCAGCAGCACCGCCAGCAGGAGCAGCACCTCCAGCAGCTCCAGCAGCACCTCCAGCAGTGCCAGCAGCACCGCCAGCAGCAGCAGCACCTCCAGCAGCTCCAGCACCAGCAGCACCTCCAGCTCCAGGGTCCGCGACACTAGTAGCGCCACTCCGGAGACTGCAGCGACGAGCGTACCACTCTCGGAGCTGCTGGGGAGAGGGCAGCTCCCGCCTAGGAGGGGAAGCACGAGCACGAGCTCCAGCAGCACCTCTCCTGAGGCTGCAGTACTGTAAGTACCACTCACGCAACTGGTGAGGAAAGAGCGCCTCCAGGTGTAGCACTCTCAGTCGCAGCACCCTCTCCTACGCTCGGGGCGCGCGGCGGTTTCGTCACCTGTCACGGCACCCCAGGGGCCCGCGCACCGTCCCCCCTCCCGTCGCCCGTCGCGGAGCCCCGGGGACCCGCGCGCTGTCCCCTCCCGTCGCCCGTCGCGGCGTCCCGGGGGCCCACGCGCCGCCCCCTCCCGTCGCCCGTCGCGGCGACCTGGGGGCCCCCCGCGCCGCCCTGCCCGTCGCCCGTCGCGGCGCCCTGGGGGCCCGCGCGTCGCGCCCTGCCCGTCGCCCGTCGCGGCGCCCTGGGGGCCCGCGCGTCGCCCCCTCCCGTCGCCCGTCGCGGCGCCCCGGGGGCCCCCCGCGCCGCCCTGCCCGTCGCCCGTCGCGGCGCCCTGGGGGCCCGCGCGTCGCCCCCTCCCGTCGCCCGTCGCAGCGCCCTGGGGGCCCGCGCGCCACCCCGCTTCTGCTCGCACGCCGCCCCAACTGCTGCCCGTGTATCTGCCCCGCGCCGCCTACGTTGGGGTATGGGGGTGGCGAGTGTGTGAGCCGTCCCCTGCTCCTCCTCCTCCTCCGTCTCCCACTGCTGCAGCTGCCGCTGAGGGGGGTGGGTGTGTGGGAGCCGAGGGAGTGGCACTAGGGGGGTGTCGTGGGAGTGGAGCTAGGGGTGCAGCAAGGGGTGTGTGAAAGGGGTGTGGGACAGTTGGGGGAGGTTGACCGGAGGTAGCCGTCGTGACGTCAGCAGCGCCAGTAGTCCGGGGCTCTGCTCCGGTAGCCCAGCGAGCCTGCTGCGCCAGTCGCCCGTGGGTCCGTTGCTCCTGCCGCTCGTCTTAGCCGCGGAGCCAGTTACTCCTGTAGTCCGGGGCCCTTGCTCCGGTAGCCACCGTGCGCGCCGCTCCTGTTGCCCGTGTGTCTGCAGCTTCACCCGTCGCCTCCTATCTCCACTCCTCTCACAGTCCCGCCTCCTCCTCCTCACTTGCCCTTTGTTTGTACTTGTGAACCTGCTCTATGACTGCTTGCTGTGCTGATTATTCCCCACTTTGACTATGGGGGTGTGACAGAATGTGATATTTGTCTAGCCTGCAGTGGGGTACTCTATAGCGAGTATAGCCCAAATTAGGGTTTCCTATATGTACTCAACTGCCTGCTAGTGCAAACCCCTCTTCTCTGTTCTCATTCTTCATTCCTACTTTCTGACAGCATACTCATCGTCATTAGGGTCATCACAGCCACGGCGCCCGCTTCTTCTGTTTCCTGGGCGCCTCACTCGTAGAGTGGTATAACCCACTCCTCAGTCTCTCCGGCAGCATACGCATCGACGTGCACCTCCACTTGCGTTGCGGCGCGCATGTGCTCGAGGATCAGATTGTACTCGCGCCCGTCATGGTTGTTGCCAATGCCTCACGTCTTGAAAGAGCAGATGATGGTCTCTTTAGGGACTGCCGCCTACGTCTCTGGTATCCGTCTGACAACAAGGTCCGCGAGTGGCTTCTTCGTCAAGTAAGCAAAACACACTGGATTAGTTGACGACAAAAGTCTCAGACAACACCAACCGTTCTAACATAGCAACCTCACACAAGTTTCTTACCAGCGTATGTGAAGGAGTCTATACATACGTTCGAAAATCACTCGTTGTTGAGTTCGCCAACTCGTGCAGTGAAGGTGCAGTTGATGGCGACGTCGAATGGCTGCAGCAAGGGTGTGCACCTTCTGGGATTGGGGAACGTGAACATTCTATACCCAATCCATGAGGACGGTGGCATTTATCCAACCCCGCTCTTAACCATGTTTCAAGGGTCGACGCAACATTGGATGACATGCTTGCGGCAGAAGCGCCAAAAGCTCTAACATTTGGGTTGGTATGCAAGTCAAAGAAGCATATGTAAACCTTAGACATGTGAGTAAAGCAAGCGAAACAATAAGAAACTCAATGCGTACTCGCCATTGATGAGGTGTTGTCCAATCTTAGTCTTGAATCAGATGGTAAGGCCCCAGCTCGAGCGAAACCAAAATGTCCACCTCGCACGAAATAGAAAGGTCCATATCTGATCCTAAAGTGTAATGCGGTGTAGAGCGGTACCCTGCTTTTGTGACGCCTTTTTTTGTGCTACATCTTTCTAGGAATGTACGCTAAGTCTTCCGCTGTGTTGCAACACTTCAGTCCAGTCTCTAAAAGATCATAAGGGCATTTTCTCAGCCCAATAGTATAGGCACCATACCGCATGTTTTGTGCATACATCACGAGCTAAAGGCTGGAAGGAACGGATCGGGAGAGGCCATTGAGGCGTCTTATCTAGTTCGACGCCGACTTATCATAAGTGATGGTATCAACCTTGACCTATCATAAGTGATGGTCTCGTCACCGACCGTCTCCTCGCCGATAGGGTCGTTATCCACACCAGCATCGGCGGGGGCTAGTGTTGTTCGAGGTGCTGCCTTGAGGGTCGGAGATGTAGTGCCATCGTCCAAGAGCGCCCGTGTCGCTCGAGTTGGGTATGGACCTACGTCTGTTGATTGCGCAGGAACGCGAGCTTGTACAATGGTTGTATCTTATTGCATCCTCTTTATGATGAGCACGGTAATATCTATCATCGCATCTCCAGGACACAACTAGATGACATTTCCTCCCCCGAGTCCTTGTATTGCCCGTTCTTGTCCCAATAAGTATAGTTCCTTTATCCCTTTAAGTGTGATATCGCTCTTCCCATATGAAATGGTACAATAGTAAGCACGCGACCTTGTCATTAAAATGTAATTGAATGGTGTCACACAAGCGAACCCTCCTAGAATCTTCTTAGCGTTGTGTTCACCCCCATTGTAAATCGTGATGGTTCCTTTTCGTCTGCTAAGGTATATAGGCTGGCCTTGTTTGGGACGTGCGTAACAGTAGTAGTTACCATGTGCTCACATCTCTGTGGACGGCGACCGTTAGAACGTCGCTTGCTCTCTGACGAATCGGAGATGCTCGAATCCAGTGCGTCGTAGACTCTGCAGTTCAACGCTCGCCGTCCAACTCTGGGTTCCACTTTTCGCGCTCTTGAAAGTAGTCGCTCGCCACTTTTCTCGGGAAGTCCATGAAAACAGTTCAGAACGCCTGACTTGGAAATTCACCTGCGGTACGGTGTCCACCTGCGTGCACCTGAACTGATGGTCTGTGTACCTGCCACCACAGGAAGTGGGATGAACATTTCTATACATTTTCTTTGTGCTGATAGAAGTGTTTTTTCCGATACTCAGTATGGATCTTCACTTATAAACTTACACTGAAACGCCACTGTGGGATTCATTTAATCTTAACAGAGCAGTAAAACTAAAGTTTGCATGACTTTCAACATTCATGGTTGCCAGTTCTGCCTGCATAGTTAGCACCTGAATGTGAGTGCACCTCTCGCTAGGGCAGCACAGCCGTCCAGTCACTGTGGCGAAACTGTCGCACACACCCAGCGTTATGCTCTGCGCCCCGCGCAAGATTTCAGCTGAGTGTGCGCTGCGTCGCACACAAGGCTCTCTGTTGCCATGGGGCCCTCCCAGATGCCTGTTCCTCCACTCGCGGCGCCCCGCCAACCGGGAAGGTAGCAGGTAGCGGAACAGTAATTTCGCAGACCACATGTTTCCCTCGCACCTGCTGGTATGAGGTCACCCGCAGGTATTGCTCAGGGGCTTGTGCGATCAAGTATTCACGAAACCCGCTTTCTGCTTCAACCATATTGAACGAGTCCGCAGCAAAACTTTCTGCCATCCCATAGTAGAGAAAGCAACCCCCTGGTTGACTTAGCCTGGATCCATTTCACCAGATCCTGCAAGCAGCAAGCTTCAAGCATCACAGCAGCCGGTCATAGAGTCTAGAACGGCGTAGACGATATCAGAGAGGCTCCAGCCTCGGCGGATTATCGGAACAAGCTAGTCACCATGAAGACTCAAGTGTTGATCACCATACTGTTGTGCCTCGCGCTGGCCCACGCCGCGCAAGCATCAAGCAATTTCGAGGTGCTTAGCCTTTTCCGCCCCTGGGACCGCTCGATTCCAGTCTCTGCTTATCGACAACTAGTTTCTCGCCTAAGAAGCATTCGTTAGGATGTTCATCAACATTGCATCGACAACAAGTAGGTGCTCCTAGGACTGGGACATTTCTCAGCTTCTTTACTGCCTGAAATCTCCTTATGTTACGGTTACAGGATCTGGGATTTTCGTAATCCATCTTACAGGAGGCCCGCCCTGCGTAGCTGTCTGTCTTACTCGCCTTTACATGCAACCTTGACTCTCAGTCTACCCTCCCACCCGGAAGTAACTTTTAAGCGCTCGCTTGTATGTCTCCTTACCCCGGTTGCATTCCATCTGTCTTCCTCTCCCCGCGCAGAAATACGCCGTGCGCAACTCCGTCCGCAGCGGCAGCGCGCACCGACTGAGGTGGCGCAAGCTGACAGAGCTTCCCACTTGCGTCAACCAAACACTCTGCGGATCGTGAGTTTTTCACTGTCTTGTCCTTTCTTCACCCCACCTTTCTCATTCGCCGCTATTCATTCCTCTCTCTCCACGCTCTCCTCCTTACGAGTCGTCTATGCTTTAATAAGCTCCCCTCCGGCAATCATCGTGAACGCTTGTTCTAATTCATTTTTTTGTCGTGCCTATGTTTTTACCTCAGACTCTGCGTTGACGTGTTGACCGACATCAACAACTGTGGCGTGTGCTCCAACTTCTGCGACCTCACCCAAACCTGCTGCAACGGCACCTGCATCAACCCCAACACCAACAACGCCCACTGCGGCGCGTGCGGTGCCCGGTGCCCAGGCACCTGTGCCGCGGGTGTGTGCAACTACGGCGGGGTGTCCTCCTCACCTGTGAACGGCCCCCTTGCCACTGGTGGCCCGGGCCCTGTCGTCCCCGCTACTGGTGGTCCCGCCGCTGGTGGTCCTGCTGTCCCTGGCGGAGGGAATCCTGGGAAACCCTAAGCGCATTAACTAATGGCGTTCGGCAGCAGCAGGTTATCGACTCTGGTGATATTATACATGGTGTTAAATATTTCTGCGCGATTGGGCGGACCCAAATGTATTGTGTCCATGGAACGGCCTGGGCTTGTACCATCGGTTGCTGCAGCTTCTCTGAATCGGCTTGCTCTCTTCATTACTTGTATCCGTCTGCTTAATAAGCAGATCTGCAGTGTACACCATCTTTTATCTCTGAAACTTTATTTATGGTTCGGGGTACTATGGGCTGGGGGGTAATTATTGGGAATGTATTGTAGATCCGCGTTAACAAGCGTAAAATATTCTTTAATTTCATGTTGATAGTTTTCTTTTAACTGATGTAGTCCAGTAGCTGTTAGGAGCGAGAGATTTCACTGTGAGAAGTTTGCGAGCAGCAGAGACGAACACTCCATGCAAGGCATGATAGGTATCCCAACCGTGGGTTAGATGACTCCGGACGTTGATTGTGAGATGAGCACTAACAGGGTCCAGGATGTTAGCTTGAGAGGTTGTGAACACAGCGGTCGAGAGGGAGTATTCAGAGGTTGTGTGCAGTGCAGTGCCCGTTGTCCTTGCATCCAAACCTTGGGGATGCGTAGCCTTTAGTCTTTGTGTTTGGTTGGACCCGGGGGCTATTCGCACACGTCCTCGAACGCATGCTGGTTACCATGCGGATGGGTTTCGCTGTGGACAAGCTGCGCGATTCGTGGCAAGCGGGGTCCTGAACTGATGCGAACACCGCAGGTGAAATTGATGCGAACACCGCATGTGAAATTTCAACGGCTTGCTGGCAAAAACGCCATCCCTCAAACACCTGCGCCTCGGAGATATTGTTGTGAGGTTGACCACTTCAGCCACTAATGCAATTTTTTTAACGGGGATTTAGCGGAGCACAGATTGTGATCGGACTAGTCGCTCATATGATAAAGAAACCTTCCTGGTTGACGAGTCATGAATTTAGGACTTCAGAAGATTTGCTGTTGAAAATTTTAAGCTAATTAGAGTATAACATGGACGCCAGACCTAGATTCTAAAATTCAGACGAATCCAAAAGATGTGGCATGCTTTAGAACACTTTCGCGCCCTCTTCTTGCTCCAGCTATCGTGTGCGCTGGGGTTGAATGAAGTGGATTGTCTGGACAAATGGAGTTTACGGGGCACGGCACCTGTTACCGTACATAACAATCCCCCGGATAACCCCCAAAAATCCCCTAGTTAGCTTGTAGTTCAGGTCAAATACATTTTTAACGCCCCCAGACAGTAGATAGTCAGTCAGTGGGTTGATTGGGTTGGGTTGTGGGACAGAGTACAAGTGTGGAGGATTTACCGTAATATGGTCGATTCAGATGAGACACTGATCATAAAAAAATAGCAACTGGAACATGGAAAATTTGTCCACCAAATCTCGGATTAGGGTACAACACATAATGAACATGGTCTACCTTAAAAATGCATCTAACAAGTTTCTCCAATTAGAAACGTAGTGCAAAATGTATGCTCGGAGCTGCTTGCAATTCATGAGGTCGACCGCCAGGCGAGCAGCGGCAGGAAGACGTTAACGTCAGAAAACCGTTGCTGCAGACACACAAGCCCCTTCAGAAAAAGCTCCTGCCGGCTCATGTGACGCTGAACGGCAGGTCCGCCGGATCTGACCGGCATGCTTTCATCTTCATCGTCATACTCGTCAGAGCTCTCCGCGCCCTCCTCCACTTCCATCAAATCATCTTCGTCCACGTCATCTTCGTATTCTTCTTCGTACTCGTCGCCCTCCTCAACCTCCTCTTCCTCATACTCATCCTCACACTCCTCTTCCTCCTCATCCTCGAATTCCTCGTCTTCCTCATCATCCGCCTCTACTTCCTCCTCTTCTTCCTCTTCATCCACTGCAGTCGCCACTTGGAGCGATTTAAGAGTAGGAACGTTCGACAGGAGCGCATGCAGCAGCAGCAGCGCCTCGGGCCTCTGCTCCTGAACCTTAAGCTTCAGCTCCTCCAGCTGCGGCCACCGCGCCACAGGTCCCGCCGCGGATGCCACCGGCTGAAGCGCGCCGGAGGTAGTCGCCCAGGAGAGGACGAGCTGCCACGGCAGCGAGCCGAGATTCAAGGTGCGAAGCGCGGGGCACATGGCAGCGAGCCAGAAGAGCGAGAAGATTCCCGACGACAGCGCTCCGGATCCCGCGGTGAAGAAATCGAGAGCGAGCGAGTTGAGAGCCATGCCGCATCCGCGAAGGAGAGATTGTAGCGAGGACCAACAGAAGGAACCCGCTTTCAAATCGAGGGTGGTGATCTCGCACGACTCGGGTGCGGAGACCTCCAGGAGGCTGGCGCTAGCGATGGCGAAATAGCGCAGGCGAGGGGCTTGTTGGATGGTAACCGATCGCACGAACATGTCGCGAATGGATACGGATCGCAGCGAGGAGGCGGTGGTGAACGTGCACGACTCGGCGCGCAGGTAAGCGAAGTCGATATGCTCCAACGAAGCGGGCAGGCGAAGCGAAATTTGCGGGCAGCCCGTTGCCATAAATATCGTCAAACGGCGGAGATTCGGCGTCGCGTCGAGAATCATCTGGAGGCACTCGTTCGTCAGGTGAATCCAGGAAAGCGACAAATCCTGCAAGTTGGGCATGGGGCGGAGGCACGACTCGAGCGCAGGCGCCGCGAGCGAAAGCGACCCGAGAGTGAGCGACCGCAGGGACTTGCAGTGGCGGGAAATATGCCCGAGATGCAAGCTGAGGTCCTCGTTCTCCCAGACGTTGATCGTCGTGGAGCCGCCGCCGTTCGCGGCGGCGTTGAGAGAGCGAGAGAGCACGAGCGACTGCAGCTGCGGCCCCGCGTGGCGCATCCATGCTTCGAAAATGAATTCGCGCGGGTGCTGCTGGTGCTGCTCCTGTTGCTGTTGCTGCTGCTGCGGGGTTGCCTCTGCGCTGCCGCTGCACGCGCAATCGCCGCCATGGTCGCATGGGGAGGAGGCGGAACGTGCGGGGAAGGCGCTAGCGGGGGGCTGGGGGAGGAGGGAGGACGTGACCTGAAGCTGCTGCAGACCGGTAGATTTCAGAACCATACGCGACACAAGCTCCTCGCGTTGGATGGCGGAACAAGGGGGGAGTGTGGAGGCGCAGTCGCTTCCGCCCGCCCGGCTCGTGTCGCGCGGGACGAATCGCAGGACGGGGATGGCGCGGGTGAGCGACTGCCAGCGGTGACACGTCATCGATGCTGCTAGCACGTCGGGTGCCCCGCCACCCAGGTGCGAAAGAATCTCGATAACCACGTCGTCCGGCAGACGCGAAAAAGGGTCTGTCGCAACCGCCTGGCTACCAGATAGGGACGACGAGGTGGTGGTCGATGATTCGGGGGGAGGAGCGAGCGGAGACATAGCTCCTGCCTTAAATGGGATGGTTACTGAGGCAAGAAGCGCCCCGCTGCTGCGAGATTTCGGAATGACACGCGGAGATGCCGACGGCGCAGACGAGGACGAGGAGGCGAGCGCTGCCTTTTCGCAAGCGCGATTCGACGAGACTGCCCCCGACGACGCTGCCAATCGTGACTCCATAGCCTTTCGCAACTGGTGGTGCGGCTGATGCGAGCCACTAGCGCTGGAGGAAGGACAGCGAGAGTCCTTCCGGGGGAAAGGCGGGTAGCAGTTGCGAACAGCGTCTGATGGACGAGTGGCAGCCATGGCGTCGTCGAGACTGGGGACAGTCTAACGACGAATGAAGGAGATTAAGAAATTTAATAACACACGTAGAACCTGGAGTTTACGTCCTTAGGACTCTAGTGGCAATCCAGAAAGGCAACCAACTGAGCAGAGAGCAGTTGGGGTGAGGAATTGGTGGTCTTATCCTTGTTGGAGCAGAGGCAGTCGGACAGACAACAGGTAGCGATAGGGGCGGGTCTGTCCGCAACAAGGGGGGAGGTGGAAGGACGGGTGAACAGTTCCCGACAGGAGTTGGATTGAAATGGGGCAGACAGAGTGAGAGGAGGACTAGATGAATGGGGGTTTCCGGCTTGGTTGGCTGGCATACCATGCCATACGGGAAGGGGCACGTTGACAAGACGGGAGTGGATAATTTCGTCTGCAGCTGCGCTGCCCATGCAAGCTGGCATGCGGATCGCTCAGAACCACAGAAGACCCACGTCGAGCAAGTGCTGTCATTTCATGAACAGCTGTCGCTCGTGATTGGTGTTTACAGTTTGCCGCGCTGTAGAACTGTCCGTCACGTGCCAACGAGGTATCTCGTTTCCCGCCATATTCTGCGATTCTGGTTGCGTGGTACACATCAGCATGACGCTGGATGGTGAATCCAGTGTCCCACTTGTCTTTGGTTCGACTCGGTACATCGCGTACGTGGATTTGATGACGGCCTTAGCTGTCTGTTCCTGCATGTTTTCTCGTGACTATCTGTCACTAAATACGTGTTGAAGAAACTCACATTACGAAGCGATGACGATATCCCTAAGTGGAGTGCTTATGTAAACAAAACCCTAACGAAACGAAATATGAAAACGAGAAAATTATGGCAGCGCACTAGAACCTGCGATTAGAATGGGTAGGACGAGAAGAATGTCTCGACACAGAAACCACAGATTTCGAGACGGACTACAAGGAAACGAAATATAAACTGTAATGGCCGCTGACTTAGTGCCCTAACGTTCGAGCTATTAACCCTTCGAGCTGTGCCCTAGACTGTTTTCGAGATTCCGTCAACCTTGGCCGATATTTTCTAGAATGTCTCGCAAAAATTCACTGTGTCCGTGATTCTTCTTAGCAGCTTCAGCTAGCAACAATGGCCACCCCTGCTTGCAAACCCGACTTGATTAGTGCTGTTTGATTTGCCAGCGCAACGAACGACGGTCCACGAAGCTCGGAGCAATTAAAGCCGTGGCCCAACTATCAACTTCAACTTCAAAGTATTATAGCTTGGAAGAGGTTGACCCAGGCAGTTCAGAGCCGAGAAGTTTGTCCTCTTCTGGTTTTCCAGTTTTTTCGTCCAATAGAATTCAAGTTACTCACATGCCATTTTTGTCCCCCTACTGTTCCTAAGAAGTTGCACCCCGCCTTTAAAATGCTGCAGCCCTTAAAACCACGTAAGGTGACTCACTATTTACAAGGAACCGATATGACTTAAATGCTTACAGCATCAGGAATGGCTATCCTTCGCCGCACATTAATTTATCGAGATACATCCGCGAGCAAGTTGAATCTGTTCAGTCGCTGTTTCAAGTTATCTGACCGAAGAATGTAAAATGCATCCTGACCACATTCGCGTGAAGGTAGTGATCACCTTCACCATAGAGAAATGACAGTTACTTGTTGCATTTGGCTGTGGGTACCAAACTAACCTGTTTGTCATCGTGCTGCCCGTTGATTAATTATTTCACGGCTACCAGTTGTGCTGCCTGTGATGATACTGAGCAGCCTCAATTGGCTTGCATTGAGTGGCCCAGAAAAAATCAAAGACACAAGCCAATCACGTCGTCGATTTACACGACAACTAATAATTCCTATGCGGCCTGGTCCAGTGTCTACCCGACACATGCATGCTCCAGTGCAAGGCGCAAATCAAACGAGGAAGCGGGAAGCACGTTATCCTATCAAGAGAGGATCTACCACGTGTGAATATCAGTGGCAGGATTTCCTTCACATCCATATTCTTGAGTGCTTTATGAACAAAACTCGGAGTAGGCTCGTGACTTACAAGTTTGCCAAATTGTTGAGTCGCCTATATTGTGCTGTAGAATGTGTAAGAAATTCCAGTGCTTCCGTTTTCAGTAAAGTATTCATACCGTATTCCTCTTTTACAACAGCAGCTGCTCGTTGTACCTTAACAGGCGGCTGATGGCATTGGGTAGAGATTTTAAACGAGTTACGAGGCCTGGTTTATACATGCATGCTCAATTATTATATGTACGTAACAAATTGCATGTTAAGTTTTCGTGAGACACTTTCCCCATTCCCAGCACGAGCTCCACCCTACCAATGCAGCCAAAAGCTGGCCTGAATCATGAGAGGATGGCAGAAATACGCGCCAAGAGTCATGGCTGTGATTGCAAGGTATGGCATGCGCTCTGGTTAGTTTCCTTTTCTACACGTCCCTCCCCTACCAATGCAGCCAGAAGCTGGCTTGAATCATGAGAGGATGGCAGAGTCATGGCAATGATTGCGCACTGTTGCCTGGTTTGCCTCCTTCATTACACGTCTCTACCAGTGAAGCCAGAAGCTGGCCTGAATCATGAGGGGATGGCAGAAGTACGCGCCAACAGTCATGGCGGTGATTGCAAGGTACGGCACGCGGAGAAACTCCTTGTAGTAATCTGCGGGCAGCTGTTGCCTGCCGTCGAGAATGGCTGCAAACGGGACGATGCTCGTGCGCTTATGCACCTGGGTAGGGGACGAGGGAGGGGTTGAGGGAGGGTGTGAGGGAGCATCGAAGGGTGGAAGAGAAATGAGTGTTTCCGTGTTAGTAATCAGCGCTGATCACAGTTGAAGGCACGGCACGCGGAGACACTCCTTGTAGTAATCCGGGGGCAGCTGTTGCCTGCCGTCGAGAATGGCTGCGAAGGGGACGATGCTCGTGCGCCTGCGCACCTGGGTAGGGGACGAGGGAGGAGGATGGTAAGAGGGTGAGGGAGAGGGTGAGGGAACATGGGAGGGTACGGCAGGCGGAGAAACTCCTTGTAGTAATCCGCGGGCAGCTGCTGCCTGCCGTCGAGAATGGCTGCGAAGGGGAAGATGCTCGTGCGACTCCGCACCTGGTTAGGGGAGGAGGGAAGGGACGTGAAGGGGGTGAGGAAAGGGTTGAAGAAACATGGGAGGAAGGGAGACGTAGTGATCCTGCTGCTCGATGCTTCGGGATAAGAAGCAGCTGTTGCCTGCTGCCAAAAATGGCTGCAGCTGTTGCCTGCTGCCAAGAATGGCACCCATCTCACCTCTTCAAACGCCTCTCCGTATTTCTTGGCTGGGCGCTGGTCGCCGTGCCACACGCCAAACATGTGATGCAGCAGAAGGCCGAGGGATGCGACTGCTGTAAAGGAAACGAACTGTCATGAACCCCCACAGACTCATGCAGACACACCTAGACTCACCCACACGCACCTTCTTAAACACTCTCCGTATTTCTTGGCTGGGCGCTGGTCTCTGTGACTGCCATTAAGGAAACCACCTGTCTTCAACCCACCAAGACTAACCTGGAATCACCGGGGCCGGGACATACCTCAAGGCACCCATCTCAACACGTCGAACGCCTCTCCGTATTTCTTGGATAGTCGCTGGTCACCGTGCCAGACACCAAACAGGGGGTGCAGGCACAGGCCGAGGGACGTGACTGCTGTGAAGGAAACGACCAAGACACACCCTTCGTTTCTAGCTCACCTCATCAAAGGCGTCTCCATACTTCTTCTCCAGTCGCTGGTCGCCGTGCCACACGCCAAACAGGTGGTGAGCCAGCAGGCCGAGGGAGGTGACTGCTGTGAATGATGAGCCGACCCAGAGCATGTGCGCCACACACCAGAGCAGCTGACCGGTCATCTGAAGGCGATGGAAGAGAGGATGAGGGAACAAGTCAGATGGGAGGAGAGAGGCCGAGGGAGGCGACTGCCGTGAATGAAGAGCTGACCCAGAGCATGTGCGCCACGCACCAGAGCAGCTGACCGGTCATCTGATGTGGCGATAGGGGCATACAGCATGAGAGAAGAGGGGGGATGGGAGGAGAAAGCATAAGAGGCGATGGGAGGAGAGAGCATGAGGTATACAAGGGAAGCAGCTGGCCGAGGGACGTGACTGCCGTGAAGGATGAGCCGACCCAGAGCATGTGCGCCACACACCAGAGCAGCTGCCCGGTCATCTGTGGTGGTGATGGGAGGAGAGAGCACAAGTGCAATGGGAAGATGATGGGAGAAGATGAAGGGAGAAGAAGGGAGAAGAAGGGAACACAAGATAGAAGAGAGACAGAGCAGTGAAGGAGGAGGCGATCCAGAGCATGTGCGCGGTACACCAGAGCATGTGCGCGGTACACCAGAGCAGCTGAAGAGTCATCTGAGATAGTGAGAAAGAGGGAAGAAGGGAGACGAAGGGAGAAGTAGGGAACACAAGATAGGAGAGAGACAGAGCAGCGAACAGAAAGAGCCGAACCAGAGTGTGTGCACCACACACAAGAGCAGCTGACTGGTCATTTGATGGAGCATGTGGGTAGTGAGCAAGAGGTTCAGACATATCTCAGTGAGCTGTGTGCGTGCAGTAGGCTTAAAGCAAAGGAAAAACAGCGGTAAAATTCCGCTCTTGTGTGCACCACACACAAGAGCAGCTGCCTGGTCATTTGATGGAGCATGCGGGTGGGTAGTGAGCAAGAGAGGGAATGAAAAGGGTTAGCAGTGGTGGGGAAGGAAGGAAGAGAGGGGCGATGGGAGGAGAGAGGGGCGACGGGAGGAGAGAAGGGGGATGGGAAGTAAGGAAGGAAGGGAACATGAACACCTCACCTGACCGCACTAGACCACACTAGACCACACCTGATCACACCAGGCCACCACATCTGACCGCACCATAACACACCGCACTGCACCTGGGGATGCCGAGTGATGCACATGACGCCCGTCTCCCACATGTGCAGCTTGGGCTTATCAACCGCTGCCACCTCGAGCAGGTTGAAGGTGGAGGGGTAGAGGAAGAAGAAGGGGGAGGGAGGGGAGATACCATACCGCACTGTACCGCACTGAACCATACCGCACCTGAGGATGGCGGGTGATCCGCATGACGCCCGTCTCCCACATGTGCAGCTTGGGCTTATCAACCGCCGCCACCTCCAGCAGGTTGAAGGTGGAGGGGTAGAGGAAGAAGAAGGAGACGAACGCTAGAGCCCACACGAACTCGTGCATGCCTGGCACGCCGCGCAGCTGCCAGAGAGGAAAGCCGTCGTACCGATGGTTGATGAAAAACACCTGATATTGTGAGGGTTGGGTGGGTGGGTGGGTGGGTGAGATGGGAGGTGAGAGTGAGTGGGGTAGGATGGAGATTGAAGGTGGAGGGGTAGAGGAAGAAGGAGACGAAGGCGAGCGCCCACACGAACTCGTGCATGCCTGGGATCCCTCGCAGCTGCCACAATGGGAAGCCGTCATACCGGTGGTTGATGAAAAACACCTGAAGGGAAGGGTGTGTGGGGGGAGGGGGGGTGTGGTGGTTGGTTGGTTGGTTGGGTAGGTAGGTGGCAGTGAAGGACACGAACGCGGGTGCCCACACGAACTCGTGCATTCCTGGGACGCCACGTAATTGCCACAAAGGGCAGCCGCCGTACCGATGGTTGATAAAAAAGACCTGATGGGGGGTGTGGGTGGTGGAATTGGGGGGGAGGCGATTGAGGAGGGGAAAAACTGAGTGAATGAGGGCAGTTGTTGACCCGAAAGTCGCTCTAAACTCACATTCTTTAGTGGGTTCACACATTACATTTCTCAACAGACTCTCAATGGTGACCTCAGACACACCATTGCACTGCAGAGGCGGCGAGGGGCAGTGAGAGGCGACTGTCGAGTCAACTCAAAAGACGCACCACTGCACTGCAGAGGCGGCGAGGGGCAGTGAGAGGTGACTGTTGAGTCAACTCAAAAGACGCACCACTGCACTGCAGAGGCGGCGAGGGGCAGTGAGAGGTGACTGTTGAGTCAACTCAAAAGACGCACCACTGCACTGCAGAGGCGGCGAGGGGCAGTGAGAGGTGACTGTTGAGTCAACTCAAAAGACGCACCACTGCACTGCAGAGGCGGCGAGGGGCAGTGAGAGGTGACTGTTGAGTCAACTCAAAAGACGCACCACTGCACTGCAGAGGCGGCGAGGGGCAGTGAGAGGTGACTGTTGAGTCAACTCAAAAGACGCACCACTGCACTGCAGAGGCGGCGAGGGGCAGTGAGAGGTGACTGTTGAGTCAACTCAAAAGACGCACCACTGCACTGCAGAGGCGGCGAGGGGCAGTGAGAGGTGACTGTTGAGTCAACTCAAAAGACGCACCACTGCACTGCAGAGGCGGCGAGGGGCAGTCAGAGGTGACTGTTGAGTCAACTCAAAAGACGCACCACTGCACTGCAGAGGCGGCGAGGGGCAGTGAGAGGTGACTGTTGAGTCAACTCAAAAGACGCACCACTGCACTGCAGAGGCGGCGAGGGGCAGTGAGAGGTGACTGTTGAGTCAACTCAAAAGACGCACCACTGCACTGCAGAGGCGGCGAGATCACCTCAGGCGAGGGGCAGTGAGAGCACGACAGGACTCGACACACGCACATTCGTTAGAATACTCGCAATGGTGATTCTTAGACATACCGCTGCAGACTCCCAAGACCCTCAGTTGTGACCTCAGACGATCCACTCCTTACGAACCCAGACGTACCACGGCGGATACGGCGAGAGGCAGGGAGAGCCCCGCGAAAAGAACGCGATAAGCGCGCTCGCCTATCACGCGTTCCGCCGCCGGTCGGAGCGCCGCGCCTCCGCTGTGAACGATCGCGAACACGAACAGCATCAGCAGCATCTGAATCTCGCGACTATCGGAGATCGATTCGAACAGCGCGATATACGCGCCGCCAAATCCGGTGTCCGGATCGATCCAGATGACGTACAGCACCGCCATTACGACGCCTAATACGCCAAAAAACGCCGCCCAGGAGGAGGTTTTCTGGTCGTCAATGCTGAAGACGGCGGCGTCCTCGCCGACAAGCTCCAGCGTGCCGGCCGGCTGTGAAGTTGACGGTTGGGAGGTTTGTGACGACTTGAAAGTTGCCGGTGGTGGGGTTGCTGGCGGAGGCGTCTGGGTCGGTGATGCATCGGAACCGTCGGATTGCGCTCTTGCGATCAATGGCTGTCGTCTGACAGCGGGTACGCGGCTTCGTGAAGCGAAGACTGACGGTGTGCGATCTGGAGACGTGGCGAGATATGAATGGTGATGGTGGTGCACAGGGATCTTTCCGTTAAGCGCGATCGGCTGCGGTAAGCACAGTGGTAGTCTGGCAATTCTCCGAGTAGCTGGTTGATGCGTCATTGGCTGCTGTGCCTTGGGTGTTACCGCAGCCATGGCTGGATAGATCAACGTCGCCGCCATGATACCTGACAGCTACAGCAGCCACAATAGAATTCCCGAACTGACCAGCCACTCTTACGAGAGTCTGCGGAGTGCCACGCGCTTAGATTGATCCCGGAAAAGTAGCGTGTCTGGCAATTGGCAGCTTGGAAATTATGGCTGCGCGGTTGGTGAAATCATGGTGATAAAAGCTTGTTCTTTCGCTCACGGCGAAATCTCGCGAGATAAATGCGTTGGCGAAAACTGTGAATTCGATGCTAAGCGCATGTCGGCAAGAGTTTTTTCGTCGTAACCGCAGTGTTGTTCCTCCTTGTGGTCTTGTTCAGGCACCGAGATTTGCGAAGCTGGATGATGTGTGGTGGTTACCGAGAGTAGGAGATCCTGTACATGTGCCCATTGTGTACGACGTGGCACGAGGATATCCAGGTCAGCTGGTGCTCGCGAGCGAACCTGGAAAGTTTGGCTTCCGTCGCGAATGGATAAGGATCTTACGCGACCTTTCGCCACGTCCCACGTCCCCATTCGTCGTGTTTTCTCCCGTTTCTTCGCCTAACTCCAAGACATTCCTTTTCCCGCCCACCCCACTTGTCAAAAATAACACAAGCCCAAGAACTGTACTTTTTGCAGTGCAGTAACGGGGGACGAGCAACTTCTTCAGAGAATGTCGCAGAAGTTCGTTTACGGGCTCATGTGATCGAAGTTTAGGAACCTGCGTAGCGTTTCGGAGCGGTACAAAAGGACATCTGCTGTCGTGTTACCAACATGTTACCAGATATCCCAGCACTAATCACTGAAGAAACTGCCACGTTTATAGCTGTTCCCCTCTCGTCTCCGTCCTCACCTCAACCTTCTCTTCCACACCTTCTGAATCTAGGGTTGGTTGAGCTCTCGTGCTTTCTGAATCCACTCAAGCTGGCTCCCCTGTTTTCTGTTCTGAATCTAGGGTTCCTCACTTCAGAAACTGCTTCGCTACTCACTTTGCCGTCCTAGTCTTCCTTGGACCATCAGAACCCAACCGCCTGCCGTCTGACTTCAAGCAGCTTCTCCCTTATCCCTTCTCCGTGTTGTTCTAGCCTTTTCCTCTTATTCGGAGACCCAGAGCCGTGTTCTGCCTGTCCGCGCTTCACAGACGAAGATCATGTAGCGTTTTGTGGAGAAATAGAGAATCGATTTAATTCGTATGACACCGATCAAGGATTATCTTTAGCGTTATCCAGGCATGCGGGAGGAGGAGGAGGACGTGTGTAGGATTTGCCGTGCGCCAGCAGCGGACGGGGATCCGCTGTACCACCCGTGTGCTTGTAGCGGGAGCATCAAGTTCGTGCACCAGGGCTGCTTGCTGCAATGGCTGCACCACAGCAACAAGACGCACTGCGAGGTTCGTTAGCGTTCGCAACTCGTAGCCTCGCGAAAGTCGCAGCCTCGCAAAAGTCGCAGCGTCGCAGAACATTGGCATTGACGTGGTTTTAAGTTGTACAACGTAGATTCGTGACATTGACGTACTTCAGTTTCGTACCGCCTACTTTTTGGCTCCACAATGATTGGTTCACTTGAAGATCCTGTGCCTCTTTATCGCGACCTCGACACAATATTTCGTTCGCGTGTGACTATGTGACGGAAGGCATGCGTGTAATTGGGTGGTACATAGTTGTTAGGTTTTGGAGCCAATAGTTGTTTCTGAATTTTCCGTATTGCGAGCTCGCGTCGGCATCACACCACCCTTTATTTCTCCCATACACTCTAGTCTTTCCATCGTCCTTGTTCGCTACACGTCCCGCGCTCCTGGTTATCGCGTTTGTGTCCCTCTGCGTCCCCTCGTAAGACTAAATTTGAGGCGCCTCGATAATCGCATCCCACTCTCCTGGCAATCGCGTCTGTGTCCCTCTGCGTTTCTCCATGGAGCTAGGGTTGTCTGAGCATTCACGGCTGAAGTTCTTGAATCTTTTCGTTTTGACGTACACGCCGTCATTCCGTTGGCCTTTTTGGCTTCTGATACACGTTGCAAGCTCTCTTTCTACGTAGACGTTCGAAGTTTCTTCTTCCGTACACGTGGCAAGCTCCCTCCTTTCGTACACGTGGCAAGCTCCCTTCTTGCTGTACAGGTGGCAAACTCTCTGTTTCTCGTACAAGCGAATAGTTCTTCCTCCCTTTTCCTCCCGCAAACTGTCTCTTCTGTCCTTCAGTCCGTCCCCACGCCCGCTTCCCTCTCCTTCCGCCTCCATCCGTGGTTCTGCTCTCTGTTCATTGCGCTCTTCCCCTTTTTCTGTCCTCCCCCTTTCCCTGCCCTCCCTCTTCTCCGCCCTCCGCGTTCCCTGACCTCCCGTTCCCCGCTCTTCCTCTTCCCCGCCCTCCCCCTTCCGCGCCACCCCTTCCCCCCATCCAGGTGTGCAAGCGCGCGTTCATCTTCTCCCCCATCTACGCGCCCGACGCGCCGTCCCGCCTCCCCCCCAACGAGTTCCTCGCGGGCGCCGCGCTCATGGCGGGGCGCGCCGTCTCGTTCGTCCTGCGCGCCGCGCTCATCGCATTCGTGTGGCTGCTGCTCGTGCCGTTCCTCACGAGCTCCATCTGGCACCTCTGCTTCCTCCGCGACTGGACGCGCATCGGCGCGCTGTTCCGCGAGAGGCTCACGGGCGGCGCGGTTTTCCAGGATTGCGTTCTGGGGAGCGTGCTGTCCGCGGCGGTGATTTTGTTTTTTCTGAGTTTGTCGTCTCTGAGGGAGTATCTGGCGCAGCTGTTGGAGCAGCAGATGGAAGGGGAGGAGGGGTTTGAGTTGGGGGTGGGGGGCGCGGGGGAGGGGGAGGGGGAGGGGGAGGGGGCGGAGGCGGAGGGGGGAGCGCTTGTAGCGCAGCAGCGGGGGCAGCTTCAGGGGCAGCAGGGGCAGATGCAGCAGGGGGGGCAGCAGCAGAGACGGCATCACCATCACCATCACCACCACCATCACCACCACCACGAGCATCAACACCAGCATCACCACCATCACCAGCACCACCAGCACCAGCGCCACCAGCAGCACCGGCACCAGCACCAGCCTCCACCCCCCCCTCCACCCCCGTTGCAACAAAATCCAGGGGACGCTGCTCGAATAAGACAAAATGGGGAGGAGGAAAGGGGGGGTGTAGCGCTGCCGCCTCCCCCCCCTCCGCGCGCGATTCCCCCTCCCCCTCCCCCTGTGGCCCCCCCCTTGGGGAATCCTATTCCCGCAGGTTCGTCTGGCCGACCGTTTTCGTTCAGCGACCGTGTAGGTGGCTCTGCGACAGGCCCTGCGACTGGTCCTGCGACTGGCCCTGCGACGGACGGCCAGCCGTTTGTATTTGGTGCGAATCCGTCCGCCCAGGAGACCCGTCGCCCGGCGAGATTTTTCTTTCGCCCGGGTGGAGAGGCGGGGCACATGGGAACCGGTCAGGTGGACGAGCGGGGCAGGAATAGCGGGAGGGACGACCCGGAAAGAGTAGAGCTAGGGAGGGAAGGCGGAGAGGGGCAAGGGGCAGTGAAAGCGGGAGGAGTAGGAGCAGAGGAAGGCGTGGCGGGAGGAGCGGAGGGAGGAGGGATAGGGAGGGAAGGGGAAGAGAGGGAAGGAGCAGCGGAAGGCGGCTGTGCTGCAGCAGCAGGTTTTGCTGCTACCGTGGCTGGCGCTGGGGGAAAGAGTGCTTCTGAGACGTCTCCAAAGTCGTCTGCTGCTACCGTGGCTGGCGCTGGGGGAAAGAGTGCGGGGAAGGAAGGCGGTATGGAGGGCGGAGGCCGCAGGGACAGCGGGGAAGAGGGAGATAGTGGGGGAGATAGTGGGGGAGGTGGTGAGATCGGGGGAGAAGTGGGGGGAAGTGACGGGGGAGTGTGTGGGGGAGAGGGGGGGGGAGCAGCTCGAAGAGAGGGTGGACAGGTGGGGAGATTGAGACTCGGAGAGGGGACGGAAGGAATAGAAAGAAGAGAGGGAAGAGTATGTACAGAGGAAGCAGAGGGGAGAGGCAGTGACGGCCGTGGGAAGGGGAAAGTGGTGGAGGGTGAAGAGGATACAGCAGCAGGTGGGTTGGGGGAGGGAGGGGAGCATGGGGAGGGGAGGAGGGGGCAGGAGAGGTTGTGGGGGGATGAGACGGGCAGAGATGGCGCGAATTCATCCGCCCAGGCGTGGGGGAATGGGGGGAGCGGAGATGGTGCGGGGTTATCCGCGCAAAGGGGGAGTGCGTGGGGGAATGAGATACACGGAGATGAGGA